TAATCATAATAAAGTCAAGGTGCACCATTACATTTCATCCCTGCCATCCCTTCCTTTTCCCCATATTTCAGAAGAGCACCACCACAGAGCATACAAAAAGAGTAGCAAGATAATCCACCTCACCCCAAGCCTCCCAGAGGATAAAGCAGAATGTCTTCAGACAAAACTGTCAAAGAATCATACAAAAATATGGTTCCGTGTGTGTGTGTGTGTGTGTGTGTGTGTGTGCATGCGTTTTAACTTTGCTTTTATTATGTGATGAAGAGAAGTATATAAATTTAATATGCGTAGTTAGTGGGATTTCCTGATTGACTGACTTTACTAGGATTTAGACCGAAATACGTAGGAAATGCAAGGGATGCATGTGGCGCTGTGGTCTAAACAACAGAGACTAGGGCTTGCCGATCGGAAGGTCGGCCGTTTAAATCCCCGCAACGGGGTGAGATCCCATTGTTTGGTCCCAGGTCCTGCCCACCTAGCAGTATGTCAAGTATGTCAATACACAAATAAGCAGGCTACATGCACATGTCACCCTAAGGGTAGCCTGCATGATGTGAATAGATCAAACAGCTAGGAGGAGTTTAGAATGTTTTGCTTCCACTTTTGTTCAACAAAAGTACTCACTGTATCTTTAAGAGTGACGTAAGGATCATTTTCATTGCTTCCATACACTGTGAGACCTGCTAGGGTCTTTCCAAGACTCTCAGTACCTGTAAAAGAATATTCACAATTTCACATGGCAGACTGTGCTAGGTAAGTCAAACTTACATAGACGTGAAACCTTAGCAAGCAACAGTTTCCTTAGTAAAATTATTGGTCAAAATGAAGCACAAGAGACAACATAAAAGGTTTTATGACTGAACAATGAAATGTTATTTGAATTGTCATAAAACTGTCTGCCTTTAAAAAACCAACATTTTAGCAAAAAGCACAACTCTCCTTCAGGTTTTAAAAGCTGGAGCTTAATGAAAATTCACTGAAATATATTTACTATGAACAAATTTAAGTGTAAAGAGGAGAAAATACCCACCTATTGTGGGGAAATCTCGCTACAGAAAAAGTGTTTAGAGCACAAAGCATCTGGGTTCAAGACTGAACCAAATAAATTGATAATGGATACCTAATTATTTTTATTCTGATGCTTCAGTTGCAGTAGCTTTTTTTCACCATTTTTTAGAAATTTTCCCCATCCTGTCCTAATGGGGAAGAGTGATTGCTTTTGAAAAAGATTTGGTGGATCAAGTTTTCCTCCACACTCAGTGTTTAAATAATTGACAGGCTTAGTGATAAGAGTCCTCTCCTGTGATAATAAGAAGAGCTTTGTAAGATCAGAGCAAAGGTTAATCAAGTCCAGCCACCCTTTTTCTCACAGCAGCAACCAGATACAAATATGTGAAGGTATTCATTCAACTTGCAAGCTTTGCAACGTAATCATATCCATGCCTTCAGAAATAAGTCCCACTTAGTTCAATGTGCCTTATTCCCAGGTAGATTCTTAGTTTTTGGATCCTGGGACTGGAGGATCCTTCTCCAAGGCAGATTATCCTGTCCACGAAGCCCTTTCTGATCTTCCAAACCCTGTGAAGCCCAAACCTCCTTTTGCATTATCAAAAACAGATGAAAGTCAAGTAGCACTTCAAATGAAGCTCCTTGCCCATAAAATGTATAAATCCATTTCCCTTGACTTCCTAAAAAAGTACTAATTCCTGTGAGGTGTTTTCAACTCTATACTCTTTCCTTTGCAACATTGACCCTTTGTGATCTATCTTCCAATACTCAGAGCAAACATATTACAACATCTTGTGAAGAATTTGCTGGTGGATGGTAGGAAACACAGAAACAAGTCTAATGTTACCTTCATCTTCCTCATCATAATTATCCAGGTCATATTCTGCCAGTTCATCGTCATCCGGCTTTTCATTTTCTTCATGGTCCTCATCGTTGGGAGCTGAGCTAGTTGCCTCAGCATCAGCAACATCCATGGTGCCTCCTGAAGCCTCTTCCTGTTCATCATCATCATCACTAGCATCTCTTTATGTAAGAAAAGGTACAACATACTTTGCACAACTGAATGTCACAACTTAGTTTTTAATCACTAACACACAATTCCATATCACTTCTTTGCCACTGATTCTGCAAGTCTTAAACACACTTCTTGTGGAGCAAATCGCATTGAACTCAGTGCAATGTTCTCCAAAGTAAGCATTCATATGGAAAGGATTCAGTTGTAAGTCTCACACCTGCTTCCTTGAGGTTCACTGGTGTATTAGTACTGAGTAGCAGCAGCAACCACCTTAATGACAGAAATGAACAGGCCACACATCGCAGTGCCAAAGCTGCAGCTTTTACTCTTCTCCTAACATGAGGGAACCTGTGTGCACCTAAACTGAACCAAATACCCTCCATATAAGCCACCTCATCACTCAAGTTCATAGGTTCACTATGACCTTATACACAGTGGCATGCTCAGCTTGTGTAGCTTTATTTTATTCCCCTCCCATACTATTTTCAAATGTTTTGCTTCCTCTATGGACCAAAAAAGTTACAAAGCAGGGATGTGAAAGTTAACATTCATATCCTTGCTCTTGGCAGGTTTACTCCTGCAGATGCAGAAGACAGTATTATTTTCCTATCCTGGGCTGAGAGATGTTCTGCGGAAAGCAAGTACAAAAATGTAACACATGAGCAATAATCTTTTAAAATTATTATGTCTTTTGAACATGTGCAAGCAAAGGTGTAACAGAGAACAAACCTAAAAATACACAAGAAACGGTTTTCTTTTATATTCTTGCTTATACAATTCTATGCTTCTTCACCATTCATGTAGAATAAGATGTCAATGGCTACCAGCCATGAAGGCTATGTTCTGCCTCCACAGCTGGAAGCAGTAATGCTTCTGAATACCAGTTTCTGGAGACCACAGCAGGGAAGAAGGCTCATGTGCTCAGTTGCTGCTTGTAGGTTTCTCACCGGCATCTGGTTGGCCACAGTGAGAACAGGATACTGGATTAGATGGGTCACTGGTCAGATCCAGCAAGCTCTTATTCCGTTCTTATTCAACTCACTCTGTTAACCTGTCCACCTGACAGGTGCTGGAATGCAGTAAATTTACAGTTTATCTAGGCACGTCAAAGCAGCGATTCAGTTAAACGTATTACAAACTCATATAGGGAAATCTGGTAGGGAAAGACAGGACTCCACAGCGTCACCTGATGTCACAGTGTTATATCATATATACAACACATATAAAACGGTTTTTCTTTACAAATCCAGCTGAGTTCCTAGATTAACCTGTCTAGGATTAAAAACACCAGGGGTTTTGCAACAAATTAAACCTTCACATAGATATGGCCTGCAATATATTAACTTTTCCCTAATTTCTGCTTCAATATTACAAAGACTTACTGCAGTCTCTCTTTGGCTTCAGAGACCAAGCGTTTCAATTCATCTGTTTCAAGATGAACCTGCAAAGTGGATGCACAGAATACAGAATTACAATTTAATTCATGCCAGGTAGTTTTTCTTTAAAAGGACATTTGAATAGGTTTGTAAAGAAGTTCTATCAACACAGTCTAGCAGACAGTAGCATCCTTGACTTTTTAAAAAGTATGCTTTTATTCAGCCCAATCAAATAAGCCATTGAAAACAAATGGAAACTGATCATCAATAACACCACGGAACAGCTGTGCAGTAACCTTAGAACAATATTTTCAACAATGAGAGGCACTGGATGGACAAGCTGGAATTGGAGTGTCCCAAAGTAACAGATATCCACATTCTATGCAACTTTTCATTATGACTAGAGACTTCTCCAATAAGGCTCCATCAGCAATCCTCAAGCAAAATCAAGAAGGCTGCTGAATGCTACAAGTAAATACTGGGCCAAGGCTTGGTGGGTGAGGGATGTTACACAAAAGAAAAGGGGCAAAAATGGTAAAAGTAGCAACATGGCTCCATTAGGGGCAAAAGAAAAAGAGGCAACAGGTTTTTTTTAAGACTATTCCCTTGCTGGGGTTTAGATTGATTTTACATGAAAACAGAAGTTGTTCTAAGTCACGTTATAAACTTTACAATGAGAGGCAGGATATAAACATTGTATAATAATATATACCACAATGTATTAATCAGGACATGTCTCACCGGGAGGGCACTACAATCCAAGAAGCAGATCCTAATAAATGTTGCCTTTTATATTTTCCAGGAGACAGGAGATATGGCTTCTCTATTCGTACGGTCTTTGCTGCCATCCAACACCCTTTCCGACACTTTAACACGCCCAAGCCTACTTAAGCTCCCAATACAAACACACACACCTGGGAGTAAGCCCTACTTAGCTCGACGGTCTTATTACTGAACAGACTCGTGCAGGACTTGCGCTGAAAAATTCCACAGCGCTGCTGCTGTTACAAACTGCAAACCAGAACTGGCTTCGCCCTCTCTCTCTCTCGACCATTTTCCTGCCTGAGCACTGATAAAGCTCCCTCGTTGCATTGGTAGCCCTGGAAGTGGTTGCACCGCTGCCGCTTCGGACTCACGAGAGAGACGCTCAGAGGCAGCTGGTGCCAGGAAGGAAAGCCGCTTGCCGCTTCCACGCTCACCTTGTCGGGCGTCTCCTTGGCGACGCCGCGAGGAACCCAAGCAGCGCAGGTGACGGGGCAGCTCATGGCCTCAGCTGGCGAAAGGGAGAAGCCACGCGACCCCGTAGGAACCGTCCCCCGCCTGGACACGTGCGAGCTTTTTCCGGCAAGGGCCCGCTTCGCCCCGCCTCCCGTTCCGCCTCCACCCTATCAGCTGCCCGCGTTCCCATCATTACGGCAGGCGCACGACCTATCGCTTTCTCCGGCAGGAGAGGGCCTTAGCTAAAGGCCTTGATGTCATCAGTACGCGCCAAGCACCCGAGACGCAGATTCCTTCACCCTCCCAGCTCCTCCCTCTCTCGTGGGCGGGGTGACGCCGGCCCCTCCCACTCTTGCAACGTCACCTGCAGAGGCTATGGAAGTAGTGGGGCAGTTGCTGATAGGGCGCGAGCTGTGCTTGCGTCACTCCGGTTCTTTCGTTTTGTGAGGCGACGCTGAGGCGGGGAGCGGGGGGGGTGTTGCGCTGATGGACTCCAATTCCCATCAGCCCCAGTCAGCATGGCCGATCGTGAGGAGTGATGGGAGTTGTATTCCGGCAATTACATAAATACACACACGTGTGTACATACAGTATAATTCTATTACCTATGCATATTAATATAATATAAAAAATCCCCGAAGGATTACAGGTTTACCGTATCTCCGTTGCGCATTTATTAGGAAGCAAGGAGCATTGAACTCAACATGATTTAATTCCAGGTAAACATACACACATACAGAGTCGCTCTTCCCGATTCTCTAGTGGCAATTTTGCCATCTTCAGGCGGGTGGGGGTAATCTGTGGCGGATCTGAAGAGCACTATGGTGAGGGTAGTTTAATGTATCAGTCAGACAAACATCTAGGGTTCCAGACCTCTCCCCCATGGAGGTTTTGTGTCTCTTAGCACAGTTGAATAACAGACAGAAAATCAACATGTCATGTCCTCTCGCCCCCCCCCCCCAAATCTGCATATTTTAAGATAAGTCTTGAAACGTTTGTGGCCCCACAACGTTTGGGAAACTGCCCTGGGAAGTTACTACTGTATAGCCCTTTCCATGTATGCAATACCTTTAAGGGTAAAGGTAAAGGGACCCCTGACCATTAGGTCCAGTCGTGACCAACACTGGGGTTGCGGCGCTCATCTCGCTTTATTGGCCAAGGGAGCCGCCGTACAGCTTCTGGGTCATGTGGCCAACATGACTAAGCCGCTTCTGGTGAACCAGAGCGGCACATGGAAACACCGTTTACCTTCCCGCCAGAGCGGTACCTATTTATCTACGTGCACTTTGACGTGCTTTCGAACTGCTAGGTTGGCAGGAACAGGGACCAAGCAACGGGAGCTCACCCCATTGCGGGGATTTGAACTGCCGACCTTCTGATCGGCAAGTCCTAGGCTCTGTGGTTTAACCCACAGCGCCACCCGTGTCCCATGCAATACCTTTAAAAAGGTAAAGGTACCCCTGCCCGTACGGGCCAGTCGTGTCCGACTCTGGGGTTGTGCGCCCATCTCACTTAAAGGCCGGGGGCCAGCGCTGTCCGGAGACACTTCCGGGTCACGTGGCCAGCGTGACGAAGCTGCTCTGGCGAGCCAGCACCAGCGCAGCACACGGAAACGCCGTTTACCTTCCCGCCGGAGCGGTACCTATTTATCTACTTGCACTTTGACGTGCTTTCGAACTGCTAGGTTGGCAGGAGCAGGGACCGAGCAATGGGAGCTCACCCCATTGCGGGGATTTGAACTGCTGACCTTCTGATCGGCAAGCCCTAGGCGCTGACGTTTTACCCACAGCGCCACCCGCGTCCCCTTTAGGAGGTTCTAAATACTTACTTGGTTACTGCACTTTGAATTGAAGTTTTATATGCTGCTATCTTATTTTTTATTTTAATTATTGAGGCACTTAATGGACTGATTATTTAGCCTGTATTATTTAGTGTGTTGTAATTCGCACTGTAGAGGTTTTGCCAGAAACGCAGGCTAGAAATCTGTGAAATAAATGGATATAACAGCAAAATCAACAAATTGTCTCACATTCCAGAAAGATTGGTGAAGGCTGATGCCATTGCTGAAGGCTTAATTTGCTAACAGGAGATACAGCTTCAAATCTGAACTCACTCCATGAGGCTCACTGGACAGCTTTGGGCAAGTCATCATCTCTCACCTTAACCTGCTTCACAGGGGCCTTGGAAGGGTAAATTAAGCTGTGTGGCAAAACATTTCACCCACTTCAAGCTACTGTAGAAATTAATAATAGCAGAAATATATACATAATTTCCTTTGTCTAATATTGGGGGCATGCTGCTGCACTGATTTGACTTCTTAATGAGGATTTGGGCTAAGAGAAAAAACAAGATGAGAAGCATTGATTAAGCCAAGAGAGATATACCTCACTTTGCACACATACGGTACCAAGTGCAAAGAGGCTATCACTGCATACATACTAACCTATTTACTCACCACTTCCTAGTGGCTTTGTGAAATTGTAAGGATGACTGTGGCATTTCGCCAGCCCCAGCACAAGTTTATGACAAGTTTATTATCCATAAAAACATATTTTAATGCCAACAACTAATTCAAAGTCAAATTCCAATGGTGCTCTTACAACAGAAATATACAATTTGCACAAAACATGGCTGATCTGACAATAATGTTTCGCAGGCTAACAATATATATAGATATATGTATATAGATGTAGATAACTTCCTTATTAAAGAATTTTATTATGCCAGAAGTCATGCAAAGAATTTCAGAGCAGTAAACACAATAGGAACAATCACTTGTTGACATTTCCAAAAACCATTCAAATACAGAAACATTAGGCTATAGATAAATATATACATACACTTATATTTTTGTTGCTGTTTGTGTGGTCCCTTCTGTGTTCCGTTGAAGCACCCCACTCTACCCTATGGGGTCCTTATTATAGACGTCCAAAAATAGGATTTGGAGTATTTAACTACCGATACAGACCACCAATATAAACTCTTTGAGATTTCTACCTTAGATCCCTGTAAATGAGGCACTTAACCATTGGCTGGGAGTTGGGGCAGGAGTCAGCAACACAAGTGTCCACCTCCAAAGCCAATATTGATTCTAATCCATAGTCCTTGGATCATTTGAAGTGAGAGGTTGCCACATACATCCTCTTTTTGCTTGATGCCAAGCATGCTGTAGTCTGGTTCTAACACCCTTTAAACAATGGTTTTCAAACTCTGTTCCAGGGAGTGATAGCACCTACAGTGATGGGCAAGATTTCCAGTAAAACTTGTCCACCATAGCTGATTTTTTCAGCAAGGAATCCTTGATTAGCACAATTATGACAAAGAAGCTTACCTGAAAGGTTGCCCACCACTATAATCTGCTCTCTCCATCTGGAGTTGCAGGGGAGTGTTGTCTGTTTTCCAAGGGGCACTCTTAGTTGATGGGGAGTAGTAGGTTGCCTCAACATTTAGTAGTGTTCCCAAGAAAATGCCCCCAGATCCTCTGCAATAATGGCCTAGTTCACACACAACACTAAGTCATGGTTAATTAAACCATAGTTTCTTAATCCATTGTTTATTTGATAACCTGAAGCCTGCCTATGGTTTGTTTACTACCCAGAAACCACAGCCATAGTTTGTTGTTGGGTTATGAATCTTGGTTTGTTTTAACTATGGCTTGGTGTTATATGCAAACCAAGCACTCTGCCTTAACCATGGTTTCTCCCTCCCCCAAACCCCGACACTAATCTACAACAGCAAAAGCAGCTGGAAAACAAATCAAGCTTTGGAGAATCAAGCCATGGTTTATTTAATCATCTGTGAAACAAACTGGTGGCTAAACCAACAATGGCTTAATGTTAAATGTAAACCAGGCCAATGGCAGGTGACCAGGAGCCCTTCAGTACACAAGCTGATGTGAAAAGGCTTCCCTAAAGGTAGAAAAGTTGAAAACCACAGCTTTAGAACCACATCCTCAAGAATCTGGATCCCTTTAATGCAGTAGTGCACAGCACCATCAACAAACTAATCCAGTATGAATAGAGGAGGACTTGTAATGTATCCTCTGGTGTTTAAATGTGCATATTAATATATACAAACAAGCTTCATTAAAAAAAAAATCAAGATGCAACACATTTTACTACTTTATTTACCCTGGTATGCTCCAAAGAATGTTCTTTACCTTATTTTATTGCGAAGTCGCTATAGCCATGATCCACATAGCAGTTAAGCCAGAGTGCTGGCAGTTAAAGCAGACAAGGCTAATGTAGCTTGAGTCCAGCTATAGAGGCTTAACTTGTTTGTGCTGCAAGACCATTTTACAGAATACAAATACAGCCACTTGTTGGCTACCTACCAATGCAATCCTTGTGAAGCAACAAAACTCACCCAGTACATGGTAGATTGAATAGGCTACAGTCACCTCTAATGTCACTCAGCTGACTTTCAGATGTATACAAAGTAGGCTGAATTGGCACAAAAACTACTTTTTTGTCGGAAGGAATTGATTTCACTGAAACTAACTGATGTTGTGCCTACATTCAGACTGTGATGACTGAACTATAGACACCAAATCTTGCTCACTGAAATCTTGAACCTTGGAGTAAGGCAAGTAAGATATGACCTCAGTGAATCCCTTTAAAAACATACACACACCAAAAAACTAAAGCATTAAGTGTCATTTCCACGCTCTCTTGATATAGGTGGTCTACTTCCATATACCAATCTAAATGTTGATTAGCAGATGGACCAGCTCTGCAATCTCCTAACATCATGTCAATAAGCCTGAACACTGCAATTGCTATTGTTTTAAGCATTTCAATAACGTCCTCTCTCACAAAGCCACACAAAAACACACACATTGCTATGTATCCTGATTTGGTACAGATAATACAGGGGAAATTCCAATCACATCATGAATCAAGATCTATCCCTTTCAAAAGAGGTATATAATTTGGATTTGTAAGGCATAAACAGGACCTTCCTATTATTTTCCATTTTCTTCTTTGCCCCAGGTTTTTTCCATGAATTTTAATAGCCTATGGCCTGAATGTTGATGTTTGCAACCAGGCAAAACCTATGTTTGCATTTTTAACTATCTCCATCAAGCCATGAGTAGGGTTCATTCAATGACATGGGGCCTCTGAACAGGTCTAGGAGATGAAGCCAACTCAGGCCCAGGGAATTCAGCCAGGGCAGGCAAGGAGACAGAACCAATGAGGGGACCCCTATGCAATCTGACATATTTGGGGAAGCAGAGTAGTTGCTCCTTCTGAAAACAGCCAGGGGAACAGGTCAATTAGAACAAAAATTTAACAAGTCCAGGAAACTATAGCAGAATGTTTTAGGGAGAGACAGGATGGGACAAATAAGCTCTGTGTATGTACCTACCCAGGCATTAGGGTAGATTTAACACAGGGCTTGTTTACTGACGAGCACTTAGGGGTTATTATCCAAGTCAAAATACACACATAAGACTTTCCAGAGTCTTCTACACCAGGCTTCTTCAGCCTTGTGTCCTTCAGATGTTATGAACTATAAGTCCCATAAGGCTGTTGTAGAAAAATACCAATACAGTGGTACCTCGGGTTACATATGCTTCAGGTTACATACGCTTCAGGTTACAGACTCCGCTAACCCCAAAAAAGTGCTTCAGGTTAAGAACTTTGCTTCAGGATGAGAACAGAAATTGTGCTCCGGCGGCACAGCAGCAGCAGGAGGCCCCATTAGCTAAAGTGGTGCTTCAGGTTAAGAACAGTTTCAGGTTAAGTACGGATCTCCGGAATGAATTAAGTACGTAACCCAAAGTACCACTGTACTGGACCCCAGGCAAGTTGCACTAACAACTCCATACCTTTCAGTTTTTTCTCTAGACCAAGGATACAGAACCTAGAAAATCATACCAGGTGAGTACAGTTTCCATGGGAAAGACCCATGAGTTCAGTCACAGCCCACATTAGGGGGGTTGTCATTTAAACTTTGTAGAGCAGTACTCATCTAACTTGTTCACTCCCACACAGTTCAGATAATGTTTCAAGGGTCTTTAATTCCACAAAGAAGAAGTGCTAAATCAAGATCCCCTGATCTTTCCAGGGCTCTTCGCACTCTACTTCTTGAAATTATAAGCAAAAGAGGTTGATGGAGAGTTCAATGGCTAATTGTGCAAAGTGGCCTCTAGTGTAGCAGAGAGCAATGGGCTTTATGGCTCAGAAATTTGCGGCGTCCCAGAACATGCCATACAATCTGGAAGACATATAAAACATTTTCATATTGAAACTTCTAATTCTAATTGAGAATTAATACAGACCTGTAAAAATTTAAAGAGATTATATGTGATGGTGATGCATTTTGTCCTACTATGAGCCCTCTCCCTCTCCCAGTCAAGTCAGTAATAAGAAGATCTGTATGGGAGGCAGGATTCATCTTTTAATGACTGTATAGTATCAGTTAAACCTGTCTCAATTATCTTCTTGAGCTACCAGCTTCTTGGCTTTAGATCAACCAAGTCACGTACAGTTGGCTCCCGGGAAAGAGCTAATGATTTTACGCCTGAAGAGCAAATCAGATTAGCCCGTTTTTGAGTAACACAATTAAAACGACAACTTGCTTGTCTCAAATGTTGCTGTGCGTCTAATACAATGTGCAAAACAGATTTGCAAAATTACATTTGGCAAAAGTATGGATCCTAATCTCGTTGAGAGGGTTTAAGAGAATGAGCAAGAGGAGGACTGGTGCTTAAAATATTCTAAGGTGTGCTCTTGGAAAATTACATGAGACATTCAGCATCTAATTGCGTGATTGAACATATGTGATTCACTCCATGCCGCCTACTGAATATATTATGCTGAAAACAAAACCTTTTGTTTTGACAGTTAAAAAAAGCCAGTTCAATGCTAACGTCAAAATGGTAGCGTATTAGCAAACCGACATTCATATGATAGGCTGCTGGCATTGTGTACATGGCATCCTCTTTTTCTGCTTCCGAGAGATGAGTAAAATAAATTGCTGTCCTTGCATGTTTATTTCCTTAGTGCAAGAAACTTGTTTCATTACAGTATTTGAAAAAAACAAAAACCCTTTTCTATTCATAATGCCGTCTTCCAAATAATTTGCCTCTACTTGATTGCCATCTGCACAGTGGACATTGCTGCTCAATAACTTGCATGCCAAAATAGTAAACATATTTACCTGGAAGAAAGCTTTGCAGTTTCCCACATGCTACAAAGCAGTTCTTAGGATTAAAATCTAAGGATGTGATGTAAGTTGCCCTTGAGTATTTGTTTTTTTCTGTAACCAATAGCTAGTATGGAGGGCCTCAAATCAGGTCAGAACCATGACATGGGGGAAGGGGAGTTTTAACTATTTGCCACCACTTTGGGCTCAAATGAAATTGGCCCCCACTCTGCCTGGGCAGAAATCTTCCACTGGAGCTCACACATTTAAAGTACATGGCTCCCCCCAAAGAATGCTGGGAACAATAATAGTCCATTAAGGATGCTGGGAACTGTAGCTCTGTGAGGGATAGATGACAGTTCCCAGGATTCTTTGAGGGAAGTCATGAGTGTTAAAATGGTATAAATGTGCTTTAAATCTATGATGTGCATGTGATATACCAATTCCTATTTAGAGTTTTGTATTAAATATTTGTGGATATTTAAGTGTTGCACAAAGATAAATCTTTTGGGTATCATGGCTAATTAGTGCTTGTCATCAGGGCGAGCTGACTGTAATTGAGAGGCAGTCTCCCTGGAACACATAACTTCCTGTAACAGCCACTGTTTGCCTATATTCACACAGACTATCTATGTCATAGAGGAAGAGATGACTAAGGCATGCAGTCCTATTATTCCTTTTAGTTTTGACACGGCTTGACTGATCCCTAACAGCAGGTGCTAACATTTTGTCGAATTTGGGAAATTCATCTTTCAGATGCCAAAATGCATCAGCAGCATTCAAGAAACCCAAACTAATGGGAACAACTACACATTCTGCCTTTGCAGCTTCCAAGGTGGTTTGTGACAACATACCCACACTCATGATTTCACCATTCTTGGCAAAAACAATTGTATCTTTCCATAAATCACTCGGGTTTATCTCCTCCATAGACATTCCCCAATGTCCCCCACTCCTCTCCCAAATTTAAGCACAGAAGCTGGACCTAACCTCATGACAGATGAGAATCATCTTGGCTAAGGTGGGAATAAACTGTGAAACTAATTCAACCCATTAGAGCAAAAGGTGCAGAGAACAGACAGCTTGAAACAACCATTTTTGAGTTTTGAGCTAATTAGGAAAGTTACAGAGAGATTTCAAAGGTGGGTGATCTGTTTGGAGTTTACTTACATTTGCTCTGGGTTGATACACATCTAAAGCTGTTTGTTCTGGGATCCCTGCCATATCTGCTCTATGAATCTGAAAACAAACTGATTATAGAACAGTTCCCCAGTGCTTTCTCCTCCAAAAGTAACCAGGTCCCATGAAAAGCAGCACAGCTCTAGTCACCAGTCTATGCATCGTCTATGCACTTTTTTAAAAAGCGCGCACACACACAGGACATCAATTTTGGTGTGTGTTCACAGGTCGTATTTTGGGAGACAGAAGGAGCAAACAGCCACCATATGGCTAATGCAGAATCTCCTTCTCAATTGCAAATCAGTTCATGAAGTTGCAAATCATGAAGTTCAGGATCACCCATTAACCATCACAGCTGAGCAACCTGTGGCATGAGTAGCAGGGAAGTGTGGCACTCCTGGAAAGGTCACGGCAAAAAGCCATATCTACAGTTGTGCTTGCTTCTCCAACACTTTTCATCTCATCAGGCCCAGAAGCAAAACCACACTGAGTCATAAGTGGGATGAAGGTGAAACAGCTGCATTCATTTGGGATGTGGCACCCTCTCAGTTTTAGATTGGATTTGGTGGCGTACTCATCAAAAAAGATTGGTCACAACTGCATAATACACATGGAACTACTATTGTAATGCAAGTGATGGCCCTGCAGAGATGCCTGGCAGCGTAACGCCCACTCTCTTCCTCTGGGCATTTTGCCAGACCAAGATAGGACCACATACACATGTACTGTGCTTCTTCTGAATGGCCAAGGGGTTGCTTGTTGGGGTGGAGTTTAAGGCACCCACCTATCAAACACTGGGTATGCCCCAAATAGGCACAAGTCACACTAGCTAGTGAGGTAGGTTCAGGGAACTGAGGCAAAGAGATCGCGCCTTGTGCAAGGGAACAGCATGCCTCCACGACAGAAGACAGAACTTCTGACCAGATCTCCCAGATTCAAATCCAACTCTTTTATCTATCAGGCCACTGAAGCAAGTACAGCAAAATCAAGGCTAGGTGTTCAGTGGTGGCTAGCTCAAGGAAACCGCATGACCTCATGGCAGAAATGGAACTTTAGAAGTGGCTATCTCTAGCAGGCAGCAGATCAAATGATGCACTTGCCAGTCACAATTTCATCTAGTGCGTTAATCATCACAATGTTGTTGTGGCTGCCGTTGTTTCTATACCCTGCTTCCTCCCATAGGAGCCCATGGGAACTTACAGCATGTGCCCCCAGTCCCTGGGCTGATCCCAGGCTACTTTGTGATGGCTAGAAGGCCTTATAGAGATCTCAAGAGGTGCACAACCTTTTCTCATTGCTTGCTGTCAAGAAGCAGATTCCGATCACCTCTAATTTGCCACTGATTTGCTAGCAAAGACAGAACTGGAGTGAAGAATAATATTTAAAACATGAGCACAGTCAATTGGCTTGGCCTTCTTCAAAGACAGGGATAGGGTACCAGTTATTGGTCTCCAACTCCCATCAACCTCAGCTGCAGTTCAAAACCATATGGAGGACTACAGGTTGTCCATCACGACCACCAGCACTATTATTAAAATTTATCAGTTGCTTTATCTTACCCAAGGCAATCCAAAGTGACTTACAACTGTTCTAGGACTCAGGAGCTTTTAAATCTCTGTCTCTGCCATTGTGTAAATGAACCTGAATGAAAGCCAGGAAGGGTTATATCTCCCCCAATTTACTTATATGCCTGTATTTATCTATTAGATCTCATGTATGTGTATGCGGACAAACACACAAATGGATACATAATAAAGAATACCCCGTATCTTTGTCAGAGAACACCCCTGAGTTAATAGAACTATACACCCATTCATCAGAACCTTGAAACAGGGTATTCCAGAGAGCAATGTAGTCGAACAGGTCTTTTTTGTACAACAGAAGTTTCTCAGAATTCTAGATAGTTCACCAGACAACATAGAACCCAACAGAATACAAATAATCCTCACCTCCACAGAACATACCAGTGATCTAGCCCTACCTCTACTCTTCAGGTGATATTGGACTACAACTGCCATAGACCCTGACCATTGGCCATGCTGGCTGGGAGTAATTGGAGTTGGAGTCCAAGAATATCCAGAGGCCACTAGGTTGGGAAAGGCTTCCAGAGAACCATGCATAGTACTGCTCTGTGCATTTTCATGAAAGAGAATTTCACCACAGCACTGTGAAATCCCTAACTGAACCCCCTATAGGCCAATGGAACAATGGAGACGGAATTCAGTTGATCACACTGTCAAAGTATCTTTGCTGTATAGAACTCCCTGGAAAGTGAACTTCATAGCTCCTTTGTGTCCTTTAAAAAAAGGGCATTTTGAGATGAAAACCTAATTTGGAATACAGCCACAATAAGGAGTTTAATATCCCACAGCACAACACAGAAGTTAAAGGCAGGAAATAAATACATTCTCTGTGGAATTTTGCTGAGCACGGTGTAACTACTTCAGTGATAATCTGGCAAGGGCTTTAGTTTGACAGCTTTAACCTATTCCAGTTTAAAAGAGAGGGGGGGGGAGAGAGCAGAAACAGAGGTACTTTAATGGTGTAAAGTCTCTGAAAGGTGTTGCCTTCAGCAACTGGCATGCCAAGACCTGATGCTGCTGCAAAGGTGGGTGGGTGAGTGGCGGGTGGGGGGGGGGTCGGGACGCCACCTTCAAAGTTACCCACACTGAACCTGAAGAATGCCTGTGTTCTCTGGCAGTTGGCTAGCCTCAGGTTTCTGACAAAACAAACTGGGTTATGAGATCCTTTTGCCTTTACATAATGGTTTCATTGTGGAGGAAACTTAATGGGGCTCCTATACTGCAACGCTTAATGACACTATTGAGAAAGAGAACAGCTGCAGTTCACAGACTGTTTACTTTGAAGTGGCACAAATGTTAAGTGGCTTGTGGCCTGTGGGCAGCCGAAACACAAGACGGGAATATTTGGCCAAGGGTATATGTGTGTGCAGGGTGGGGGGTGGAGAGTGTTTTAACAGTTGAACGGAAAGTAAAAAAAGAAAGGATTCATTTAAGGAACCCAGAATAATAAATGGCCGGATATTTAATTTATCCCCCAAAGAAGGGTTGCAGGATGAATAAACATTGCCATGACTCAAAATTTGGATTTGATTTTAGTAGCTTGAAAGCTCAAGGCAGGGATAGGGAACCTGTGACCTTCAGATGTGACTGGATTAGGGTTTTCACCATCCCTGGTTATTGGCTGGCTGGGGCTGATGGGAATCCACCAACTCTGGAGGGCCACAAACTCTCAATTTCTGGCTTCAGGCCAACACAGAGGGGCAAACATGGGGTTGCCATTGAGTGCAATTAGCAGATAACTTGACATATGACTGCAGTTCTAGACCCACTTACTTGAGAGTGAGTCCCAGTTGACTCAATGGGGCTTCCTTTTGGATAGACATGTATAGGATTGCACTGTATATAATTTGTGTTTGTTGCGTTCACACTTCATATTTCTACATGTAAATTTAAAATATATTGGGCATGCTCCTAAAAATATAACATTATATACTGGACTTTAGCTTTAGGATTGTCATTACTAGGTGTACTTTGGCACTCCAATCATTTCCAAACCCAGACATTTTCAGGCTCAAATGTGACTTTAAAAAAGAAATCAAAATAAAATGATACAGTCATGTTCCTCTTTTACTCCCCAGCATGTGTATACTTCTACACGCACATTATTTCTTAGAAGACTGAAGAATTCTTCTGCACATGCTTCAGAAAAGTGCTAAGGAGAATGTAGCTGATGTTCCCACAGACCTTTCAATAGGAATGTATCAGTACTAAAGGAAGAAAGGTGACAATGCAAGCCTATATGTGCCCACTCAGAAGTAAGTCCCACTGAATTCAATGGGGCTTACTGGATAAAAGATTGTGGCCTGAATGAAGACAATCAAATTTGATCAGAAAAGTACATTCAGACAAAGTCACATCAGCCTACACAATGGAACTATTTAAACTCTGTTAAAGCCGAATTTTCATTTCATGTTGATGTCCATATGCAACACTTTCTACTTCTCTAACAGAGAAAAACAGGCACAAGGTTGGGGCTTGGCAGCCTGAGGAGGGAAGTGCTCTACGTCCCTATTCCATTTCCTCCATCTATGGCCAGGGATGGTGAACCTATGGCCCTTCAGATGTTGCTGGACTCCAATTGCCATCAGCCTCAATGAGGATGCCAATGGACAGGGATGACTGGAGCTACAGTTCAACAATATCTGGAGGGCCAGAGATCCCCTATCCCTGGATTAGTTCTTGGAATCAGAATGAGAGCAAATTATTCTGTAACAGGCACTGCGGACAAATGGGAAACCGCTAAACCCCCATAAATAACAGCTAAGTGACTTATTCAGGGACTATGGTAATATTTGATGTAAAGATCTCCCGACTACCAATCTCCCTTTTTACCTTAGAAACTCTTGATCTATTTCACATCTTTAAGAACAAAGGCAGATGTAACATCTGAAGAGGAGTCACAGCAGGTTCTGTGTCCTTGCTTATGAAGTTGTACAAAAAGAATGTCCTTGTTATTTGCTTGTCAGTTTTCCCCTCCCTTGTTTCCATGCAGACTTCCTGCCTTTTTATTCTTTAAGCTGTCTGTCACACATGTAACTTTATTGGCACACATATACATTTCTCCATCAGCATGTTAAAAAGAAAGTTACAGGATTGTGGTTGTATTTTGGTGACGTCATTGGAACTAGCCAATTCATTGCCATAGCTGTTTCCCCTTGACCCCGGAAAGAACAAAACAAAGCAGCATTGAACACAGTGAGGGTCCTTCCAAACCTGCCTTCACTGCTCTATAAATATTACACCTGTCTTTGAAAAAAATGTTTCAAGGTCACCATGGTCACCTTTTCAAAAAATTGTCCAGTGCAGTTAGCATTCTGTATCCAGCCCTCATCCTCCTTCTCTCGCTTCAGATTTTATTCCTTATGAATAATTTTGTTGTTTTGTTTTCAGTACAAACACATGGCCACCTATGATCCTGTTTCAGTTTTTCAAGTCTATGGGCAATAAACTTCACCATACGGCTTTGCCTAACACAGTATAATCCTTAGGCAACTGATCATTTTCCTACTGGAAAACATATGGAAATTAGCTCTTATAAAAGGATATAGAAAAGTTCTGAAATACAGAACAAGTTGTGTGATTCCACCCCCTCCCCTGGAAGGCCCTGTTTTAGGCTCTTGAGAGAAAATATCACCCTTTAAGAGTCATACCTAAGGATAGTTCTCTACCTAACCATTTTAAAATAATTTACAGAAAAGGAAGAAGATGAGAGCTGTTTTATTGTGGAGCTGGCTGCAGAGGCCTAAAGGAAATTTTAGGAAAAACTGGGGAGAGTGAAAAATTACCAACTTATTAGTGAAAAGAGTCATTTTTAGGTTTTTGAAGGTAAGTTAGGCAGCAATCCTATACCCACCTACCTGGGAGTAAGCCCCAATGAAATCAGGGGGACTTACTTTGGAACAGGCAGGTATAGGATCACACTGCAGAAGAGCTAAATGGAAGCTGATGAAATGGTAACATTTACGAACTGTGTAATTAAGATATATTCAAAAGGTGCAGGTGCAGGCTTTCTTAGCTATGTATCTCTTTCATAGGGTAAAAGTTGCACCCACTGAATTTATACTTCCTACACTGCTCTTAAAGGCATAAGGGCTGTTGGAAATATTAACTGTGAGTCAGAAATTCAGAGAAATATTTAGATATCGGATATAAAACTTGGTTATAAACATTAAGATGCAGCAAACAGTCCACCTGGATAGATATGATAAAGAAAAGTTTCAAGAATCCCAACAGTTGATCTTTCAGACAAAGAATGTTTCATATCATTGTGCTAGATTTGATTTCTTTTTTACCCCTCTTCTGTATCGGTGTTTTGTTTTCTACTTTTACATTTATTTTTGTTTGCCATATCCATCATTTTTATTCTGTACATGTTCATGCCAATAAACCTTTAATTATTTAAATTTTTTAAAATAAAAAAAGTGTATAACAATCCCCAGCTAGGATTATATGGCTTATTTGGGGGTGGGGAGATGACTGGATTGCTTACTCATTTCTTGATATTTATGTAATTGAGCAAATAGAAAAATGAGTCACATTCATGGAGGATAAGCCTGTCAAAGTCTACGAACTAGGGCAGCTAAATGGGTGTGCGCTTTCAGAAACAGTGCACCTCTAAATACCAGGTGCCAGGGGTATACAATGCGGTAGGACGGCTGCCTTCATGGCTCACTTTTAGGCTTCCTGGCAGCATCTGGCTGGACACTGTGGGAATCAGGAGGCTGGACTAGACGGATCACGGGTCTGATCCAGCAAGGCTTGTGTTCTGGTTTCAGCTAAATCACAGCCTCACTCTCACATGATGCCCTCTGGGGATCGCACTGTAATACTTCACCGACTCAGAATCATATACTGTATCCTTAAGACCCTTTCTCGAATGCTATAAGGGATGGAATCTATGGAGGGATTTTAGATTTAGAGGGAGAAGTGAGGAAGGAGGGAGTGAGGAGAGGAGGGGAGGTTACCTAAATTGGTTCCATGACACTAATCCAAGATGCATTGACAGTGATATACCTGTAAAGCTCAGACATTTGAGGGACATGGCAGACCTGCTTCAATCTTCTTTTTGAAGAACACAGCAAAAACATCTGGAAGGATAACCAAAAGTAGAAGGCGTTGCTGTAGCAAGGAAGCGATCACTTCTTGTCATCATTTCCATTTGCAACCCCATCATTGGCTTGGAATCCTAAGAAAGGAAATTCCACACAAGGAAGGTTTCCCATTCACCTTTACAGCCAGCTTACCTACAGTCCTAGCCCACTTAACTATTACTGAGGTCCCGGTGTTAACTTCTTACTTCTGTCGGGTTTTCCATATTTAACCGTTTACTTGTTAGCTCAACAGAATGAAATTGAAATACCTAGAAAATTAATTTTCAGTTATTTTTAAATGGCATTTTAATCAAAAGATTTTTATATACATTCACACCATTAAACAGACTACAGCAAACTTTAGAACACCTCAGTTTTTTTATATAGTCATATGTTTGTTTGGCTTGTCTCTTGGCTGAGGTGCTTAACGTGTAGGTTTGACTTGCAAGGGGCCCCAGTTTGACCACCGCTTCATATCTCCTGCTGGGGGCCTTCTGTCTTTTTGAGCTAGATTTCCACTCATGCCTGCAGCCCTCTGCAAAGGAGGAGACCTCCTGAATAATGTAGGATGGGGTGCAGGCAGCTGGGAGGGAATAACTTTCTTCTGTTATCTTAAGATCCAAACCATTGTGCTATATAGTTTCTAAATTAATAGCCAAGGCTACAACTTGGGTTGTAGCCCAATGCTAGTCCTACTCAGAGCAGACCCAATGAACTCAAAAGCTATGGGAAAAACTTAGTTGAATATAATCCTCTATTCCCCCACCCAGTTCAGCTACAAAAGTATGCCTTAGGTCAGGGGTAGCCAATGTGGTGCCATCCAGATGTCAGCAGACTTCAAATTCCATCATCCTTGACCATTGGCCATGCTGACTAGGGCTGATGGGAATTGTAGTCCACTGATGTATGGAGGCTGCCAGGTCGGCTGCCCCTTATATTATTAGAGTTGAACTGGTCTATGAGTAGCAATAGCCTCTGGTTGTTTTCACAAGTAGTTAATGCTGAATGATGGCCTACAAGAAGCCACAATTTGACCGTGGCCTTGCATCACATACCATAAAGCATAAAATTGCTTTTGGCATTTGAAAATTGCACAACCAGTTGCATTGAATAGAACATGCATTCAATTTAAAAAAACAACAACCAACAACCCCTGCTTACTATCCCCATATTAACAACATTCACAAATGATGACTCTTGGTATTGCTTGTGAAAAACATCCTTCAAGAGTCTTTTCCCTGCTGCATTGATCCCCAACACTCACTATTTGGCAGCTCAGCAGTTAACACCCAGGAGGCCCTTCAAATGTCATAGAAAGGTTACAGCAACCCATCCCTTGTGTACGGCTGTTTGCGGTGACCAAGGAAGCACGGCAAGGAAGCACCCAAGGGAACAGTAATCCACTGGTCAGGTTATTGTCCCTGTCAGCACTGCAGTGCAAAATTCACAGTAAGCCAAGTTGCCCATTACAGACAATGGGTCCGGGGTGAGCATTACTCCATTATTCAATTGCCATGCTGTGCCTCTGTAACATTACCGGTAGTTTAGGCAATTTTGCAGTGTTGCTGCAGGAATGGTATAAAACAAAAAAAGGAGGATTTGACGTTTAGAGCCACAGAACAGCCCCTTGTTTTCTTCTTGTCCAATATAAAAAAAAACTGGATTCCTGAACATTTAAAAAAATCTGTCAGAGTGAATTAGCACCTTATAGAAAAGACCTAGGATTTACTTTGAACTGGCATTATGAAAATTTCCAAAGTTTATGAAC